TCGTCTAACCCTTGTCAGCCCATTTTCAAATGGTCGTCTAACCCTTGTCAGCCCATTTTTAAATGGTCGTCTAACCCTTGTCAGCCCATTTTCAAATGATCGTCTAACCTTGTCAGCCCATTTTCAAATGGTCGTCTAACCCTTGTCATCCCATTTTTAATGGTCGTCTAACCCTTGTCAGCCCATTTTTAAATGGTCGTCTAACCCTTGTCAGCCCATTTTCAAATGGTCGTCTAACCCTTGTCAGCCCATTTTTAATGGTCGTCTAACCCTTGTCAGCCCATTTTTAAATGGTCGTCTAACCCTTGTCAGCCCATTTTCAAATGGTCGTCTAACCCTTGTCAGCCCATTTTCAAATGGTCGTCTAACCCTTTTCATCCCATTTTTAATGGTCGTCTAACCCTTGTCAGCCCATTTTTAATGGTCGTCTAACCTTGCCAGCCCATTTGTAATGGTCGTCTAACCCTTGTCAGCCCATTTTCAAATGGTCGTCTAACCCTTGTCAGCCCATTTTCAAATGGTCGTCTAACCCTTGTCATCCCATTTTTAATGGTCGTCTAACCCTTGTCAGCCCATTTTTAAATGGTCGTCTAACCCTTGTCAGCCCATTTTCAAGTGGTCGTCTAACCCTTGTCAGCCCATTTTTAAATGGTCGTCTAACCCCTTGTCAGCCCATTTTCAAATGGTCGTCTAACCCTTGTCAGCCCATTTTTATATGGTCGTCTAACCCTTGTCAGCCCATTTTCAAATGGTCGTCTAACCCTTGTCAGCCCATTTTCAAATGGTCGTCTAACCCTTGTCAGCCCATTTTCAAATGGTCGTCTAACCCTTGTCAGCCCATTTTCAAATGGTCGTCTAACCCTTGTCAGCCCATTTTCAAATGGTCGTCTAACCCTTGTCAGCCCATTTTTATATGGTCGTCTAACCCTTGTCAGCCCATTTTTAAATGGTCGTCTAACCCTTGTCAGCCCAATTTTATATGGTCGTCTAACCCTTGTCAGCCCATTTTCAAATGGTCGTCTAACCCTTGTCAGCCCATTTTTAATGGTCGTCTAACCCTTGTCAGCCCATTTTCAAATGGTCTTCTAACGCTTGTCAGCCCATTTTCAAATGGTGTGGCAAGGGTCAGAGGAAACTCGAACTAGTAGATCTCATGATGATTTAATCTAGTGAATTAATTTAAAAAAAAATTAGTTTATTTAAAAACTCCTTATACGTATCTACTTTGGGATTCCTTTTAGCAATACAGTTATTAATACTATTGCATAAATTGTTATAATATGTCAGTTCTACAGTCATACAGCTTACTATAAAGACCAGACATTGTTTTGTGTATGTTTTTGTGTAAGTATGCCATTAGTGTACTTTTTGGAACAATGACCAACTTTCTTGTTAGCTATTGGTGTTCCATATCACTTTTCACTTTTGCATTCGCGTGTACCGTAAAACTGTACCATATATTGTATTCAAATCATTATAAAAGTTGTATTTCAATACTGCTGTACACATGATCTGCAAAGGTAATTTCTAATTTCATTTAGTCATCATATTCGTCCTTAGGACTGTTGAACAACAACTCAAAATACGAGTACAATGCTTATTTTCAATACCGTAAAGTCACCATAAAATGGATTGGATAATTTTATTTTTTAGTTCTTTAAAGCAATAAATCATAAATAACATCATTCGTCCAATCTAACAAATGTTATGACTCTATGGTAATAAACTAAGTAACAGATATAAGCAAAACCAACGAATAATTTAATTACCAAAGTTATAAATGAAAATGTGACATGGAACTGACAATATTGTGAATTGAATCCAAAATTATCCTGACAAAGTTCTATGTTAAGTCCAAAATAATGGAAGGTTTGTATAAATTTTAAAACCGGAAATGTACTTGTCCGCCAAGAATCGTGACGTGGTCAAAATGGCACCGTCTACAACTCCTTTGAATAATCCACAATAGTTTCAGAAAAATTGTATTATAATTCAACTAATGAGCAATTTCTGTTTCCAATAAACTTTCCAAACAAATGTTTTCCCTCCCGAATAATACGTATAGCGTAAAACACGTCTTCAGACTTAGAAAAGGAACACAAATAATGAGGATGACTCCAAGATCGAAATAAATCAGATTGCTCGGTTCTCTCCTTATATACCGTCTATTATGACTATATTAAAAATATATCACACGTGGCAGATCGTACAACCATGAATTATATTTACAAAAATTATATAAAATCATGTACCTGAAGTTACAAAAAGTATAGATATACATAAAACATACATTTGGAATTTGGAAGGCAGGAAATGATTTGTTTTAAAATAAGCTATCTCACAAACCGATCTTTGAATTAATCATGATGTTAAGGTTTAAACGACGTTCAAATATTCAGTTTAGGATTAGGAGAGGAGTGTTCCAAAGGAGGTAATGTGGTTTATTCTAGCACGTGACACAAATTGATTCGAGATGGAATGGAGAGAAGCAGGACAGCTTTTTGTAAGTGGATCGGAGGGAAAAAAGTTTTGCATTATACAAAAATAAGACACGAGTGAATTAAAGGTGATTAGCGGAAATGCTGAGATAATCTGAAGGGCGAACTTGGGCTGTTTTTACAACGGTGATGTCACCACATTTTGTGTCCCAGATTTCGACTGAGATCAGTTAAATCAAGGATGTCGCCATCGTATTAAGTTGTACACTTGTGAAAAAAAACAGGGTTTCTCATTTCCATGAGAAATTGCATGGTTCATAATGTGATGAAACGTCGATATTATCTGATTTTAATGAAATTCAACGATGTTTAGGACCAATACCTTACAACAATGTTTAGGACCAATATCTTACAACGATGATAAGAACCAATAACTTACAACGATGAATAGGACCAATACCTTACAACGATGTTAGGACCAATACCTTACAACGATGTTTAGGACCAATACCTTACAAAGATGTATAGGACCAATACCTTACAAAGATGTTTAGGACCAATACCTTACAAAGATGTTTAGGACCAATACCTTACAACGATTTTTAGGACCAACACCTTAAACGAAATTTAGGACCAATATCTTACAAAAGATGTTTAGGACCAATAACTTACAACCATGTTTAGGACCAATACCTTACAACGATGTTTAAGACCAATACCTTTACAACGATGATAAGGACCAATACCTAACAGCGATATTTAGGAGCAATACCCTACAAAGATGTTAGTACCAATACCTTACAACAATGTTTAGCACCAATACCATATAACGATGTTTGGGATCAGTACCTTACAACGATGTTCAGGACCAATACCTTACAACGATGTTTATGACCAATACCATACAACGATGTTTAGGACCAATACCTTAAACGAAGTTTAGGACCAATACCTTACAATAATGTTTAGGACAAATACCTTACAAAGCCTTTGTGACCATTACCTTACAACGAGGTTTAGGACCAATACCTTACAACGATGTTTAGGACCAATACCTTACAACGATGTTTAAGACCAATACCTTAACAACGATGATAAGGACCAATACCTAACAGCGATTATTAGGACCAATACCTTACAAAGATGTTAGGGCCAATACCTTACAAAGATGTTTAGGACCAATACCTTACAACGATGTTTAGGACCAATACCTTACAAAGATGTTTAGGACCAATATCTTACAAAGATGTTCAGGACCAGTACCTTACAACGATATTTAGGACCAATTCCTTACAGCGATGTTTAAGATCATTAAAAAATAGCGATATTTAGGACCAATACGTTACAAAGATGTTAGGACCAATACCTTATAACAATGTTTAGGACCAATACCTTACAACGATATATAGGACCAATTCCTTACAACGATGTTTAGGATCAATAAAAAATAGCGATTTTTAGGACCAATACCTTACAAAGATGTTTGGACCAATACCTTACAACGATGTTTAGGACCAATACCTTACAACGATGTTTAGGACCAATACCTTACAACGATGTTTAGGACCAATACCTTACAAAGATGTTCAGGACCAATACCTGAAACGAAGTTTAGGAACAACACCTTACAACGATGTTTAGGACAAATACCTTACAAAGCCTTTGTGACAATTACCTTACAACGATGTTTAGGACCAATACCTTACTACGATGTTTAGGACCAATACCTTACAAAATTGTTTAGGACCAATACCATACTACGATATTTAGGATCAATACCTTACAAAGATGTTAGGACCAATACCATACTACGATGTTTAGGATCAATACCTTACAAAGATGTTAGGACCAATACCATACTACGATGTTTAGGATCAATACCTTACAAAGATGTATAGGACCAATACCTTACAAAATTCATTATTATTTTGATGATTTAGCATATATTACGTTTTGCACATAACTGCGGCATTGAAACTTGAAGCACCCCAATACCATATCTTCATCTATTATTATTATTATTATTATTATTATTATTATTATTATTATTATTATTATTATTATTATTATTATTATTATTATTATTATTCGTATTGCAAATTATATATCCTTCCGATTTTTAAAGTTTTTCTTTTCATCAGTACATATATGTACATCAGTTCTTAATTTTAAATAATACAGCAACTGATTTTCTAGTCTTAATTCCTTTAAGTTATTTAAGATTTTAACCACGGATCCAGCTTGAATATAACTGTTTATGACTCATTTCTTATTTTAAAAAATATGTTTGAATAAAAAAAAACTATACAGCTTTGGTGTTGTTGTGATTTGATTTTTTTAAACTTAGCTTTATAAAATTTTTAGTCACATCGCTACGGTGTCTGCATTGTTGCAGTTTATAGTGATGTCTAGCACTGAGGCATCATGTCGCAGACATGTATCACGATGTCCTACCCAGTCACATTATCCTGACACCCGGCCATCTAGTCCTAACACTAACATCTTAATGCTGAGCGCCAAGCGAGGCAGCTGTTAGTACCATTTTTTTATAAGTTTTGGGTACGACTTGGCCAGGGATCGAACACACGACCTCCCGCATCCGAGGCGGAAGCTCTAACTACTAGACCACCGGAGCCGTCACCGCTTTGATCAGATGCTGTTACATACGTTAAGTCCAGTAAACACATATCGGACGTTCCAACACAGTTTTAACAAAATGAGCCGTTTTATAGTGTTTTGTACTAGTTGTAACTATATATGTTTTTTGTCGAAACAATTAAAAAAATGGCTTTTTTTCAAATACTATACGACTTTTACGTTGAATTTATTATTAGTAATTTTCCCGTTATTGTGTTCTATTTCAGATACCGGTCATTATAAATTCCAGCATTTGTTTTAAACATATTTACGCTGAAATGTCACACCTTATATTTCTAATTAAGAAAAATGTCAACTTATATTTCTTATTATGAAGATTCAGATGCGTTATGAGATATTCATACTCAGAAATAGGTATTGTCGAAAACACATTACCGAACGATCACTCCTTATTCTCTTACATTGCATATTAGGCAAAACCTTCAGCATTTGCAATAGAGCCACTGTAAGAGATCACATAGAGCCACTGTAAGAGATCACATAGAGCCACTGTAAGAGATCACATAGAGCCACTGTAAGATATCACATAGAGCCACAGTAAGAGATCAGAGAGCCACTGTAAGAGATTACAGAGAGCCACTGTAAGAGATCACATAGAGCCACTGTAAGAGATCACATAGAGCCACTGTAAGAGATCACATAGAGCCACTGTAAGAGATCGCATCATTTGAAATCTAAATTGAGTACCATGCAGTCATCAATAGCAGACTGAAAATAATGTTGAAGACTGAATAGCCATGGCAACCAGACAGTTTAATCCGAACGATAGAATTGTATAGTACTGTGCCGAAAATCCAACTTTGGTGATATTAGATGTATTAATTAAATATTGAATAGATTTATATAAAGTAGATGGTAGATTAATTCCAAATTTCAAAGAAGATTTTTAAATAGACCCATAGACTACTGGAAAAGGCATTGCATTCTAAGCCAAACAATTCTACCAAAGCAGCAGGCAAAATTTTAGCTGGGAATTCAAGACAAGAGGCTAACGCAGCATGTGCGACTTAAAAAACCCCAATGTATTCTAAATTGAACAATACGGTTTAAAAGGATCCATTACAGTGCCATGAAAATAACAAAACTCGCGATAATTTTGAACTCCAGTATCGGGCGTAGCGTGTGTAGCATCAGGAAAAATACGTGAATTGATAAGGTAGATATATTTATTTATAAAAATGTTTAAAGATTAAGGTTAGATATTTTCAAAACAGAAATAATAAAATGAATATTTATGGCACACTTTCTACAAGTTTTAAATTGATAAAACGGGGCAAGGGGGAATATGTATATGAAAGAAATTGACTACCCACTGAGACAGGTTTTTGTTGTCATAACAACTAGTTTGACAAATAGTGGATAAATTTATGTCGTTTTAACAATGAATTTGAAGGCTGGCTGCCTAGTTGACCAAGGTTTTAGTTGTTATAACGATCTGAAGGCCAGTGACCTAGAGTCAGAGGTCAAGTGGTCCAAAACCGACCTAATGTTAAGTGGCCATAAAAGTTCTCATATTTAAAGTCCAATGACCCAGGCTTTATATATATATATATATATATATATATATATATATATATATATATATATATATATATATATATATATATATATATATATATATATATGATAAAGAGAGAGAGAGAGAGAGAGAGAGAGAGAGAGAGAGAGAGAGAGAGAGAGAGAGAGAGAGAGAGAGAGAGAGAGAGAGAGAGAGAGAGAGAGAGAGAGAGAGAGAGAGAGAGAGAGGACTTTTACTAATCGGGAGACTTGCGTCAGAATAAGATTCATCAATTACTGACAATGGCAAGCCACTCTCACAGTTGAAATCTTAATTAATTGGTTCAATTTTAAATTGCTTTTATCACATTATTTTGGCAAAAGAGTGGCGAAAGGAATAAAGATTGTCAGACAAAGCTAATGAAAATTTATGGAAACTTCGCGGATAAATCATATTAAAAAAGAGCAAATAAAGTTAATCTATAACTGCTAATTTAATTTCTCTTTTTATTTCATTTCAACTCTCTCTCTCACACACACACACACACACATACACACACACACAATCGCAAACACTCATGTATGTATGCATATATATATGTATATATAGGTAAAGTTCTAGGTAACTATATAAGACATGTAGAGACTTTTAGCTAAGACGCATGGGACACGGCGGGGCGGAGGTAGGGAGGCGTTTAGAGAACACAAAATGATACTATTTAGAAAAAGATTATAGTAGAGACTTGCGAAGATGACCCTTTTAAAACGCTTTATCACGAGACAGACAAGTTTGATAAATTATCTCACATGTGCAAGTCTGGTATCAGTTTGATCAACTGACTCACATATGCAAGTCTGGTATCAGTTTGATCAACTAACTCACATATGCAAGTCTGGTATCAGTTTGATCAACTAACTCACATATGCAAGTCAGGTATCAGTTTGATCAACTGACTCACATATGCAACTTTGGTATCAGGCGATTAAATTACATCAAGCAAGATGACAGAGAAGATCCATAGAATTTTATCTGGTGCAGGACAAAAACTTATTTAAATGCACAAACTCGTTATATAACAGTTACTTAAATATTTTAGTGTGTGTGTGTGTGTGTGTGTGCACACTTTGGGTTTTAACGTAGGTTTAATCATTTTTCATGATGCCGCAGACATGAAGCATCATGTCCCACCTAGTTATATTATCCTGAAAACTGGTCAACCAGTCCTCTTTAATATTGAGCGCCAAGCGAGGCAGCTGTTTTTACCATTTTTAAAAGTCTCTGGCATGACTCAACTGGGGTGCGAACTCGCTACCTCACAAATCCAAGGAGGGCACTCTAACCACTAGGCCATATGAGCGGCCCGTGCTGGACAAAAAGATCTAATTTAAGTGCACAAACCAGTTACATGACACTTACTTAAATATTTTAGGGAATGTGTTATGTTCTCCTATGCAAGCAATAACATTTCAATCATAAGAAAACTTATTAATCCAAATACATGATATTCGATCAAGGTTGAGAAGCCGAGCTGATTTATCTCAAAATGTTATGATAAAAATGTTATTGAGTGTTGAATAGATAATAAAGTTTAACGCTCATATCAACCAAACATAGATTCGTCTACTGAATAATCGTCTTTGTATTCCGCGTACAATCACCAGTACAATCACCATATATAGAATGTACTGTACATGTATTTTTCGGCAGCGAACTCTCAAAATGATATGCCAAGTTATCCGACAGTAATGGCATAATTGCCTATCTTGACGTACTAATCGCTGGTGCTAGGGTTGATTTATTCCCGGAACCAAACCCTGCATATTTTGCAAATACATTCAGACTTCCAAAGGTGAGATCAAGACATATTACGAGTCGAAAGCCTGGAGTGGTGAGGAACCAGTGCACGCCAAGAACACGTGCGTTGAACATATGCAATAGAAAACGTGATAAGCACGTGAGTCGTCTGCGATCGATCACATAGTGCAAATACAAATAGGAGACCATGCTTTATCTAAAAATTAAAACAAATCCATATAAGTTGTTATATTATTCTATTTTGCTACTTCTTGATCTGCATTAGTTGCAAACATAATTATGAAATAAAACCACAAGACATAGGTAAATACAAAATATGAAAAACCCCACATAGGAAAACCGCTACTTCACACCACATGAAAACAACTTCTGATACATGAAATAATGTCATTCTGAAAAGTAGACAAAAGTCCGAGTGCAGTAGCTGGCTGGTTCATACTGGCAGTTTTCATATTTAAAGTTCATTTCAAATGGGAAAACAATATTCAGCCAATTGACTCATCAATTCCATTCATTCTAGAATTTGTATGGGCAGATTTAATCATTTATCAAAAGCAGCTACATTCTTTTACTGGAAATACACAACGCTGGGACGGAAAATATTTTAAATTTAGAATTTTAAAACTAGAAATGTAGAACAGGCACGGAAACGTTAAAGCAATTCCTAGATATTAAACCTAATGCAATATAGAACGCAGACTTTCAGAAGTTATTAAAAACAACACATAAAAAACCAACGCAAGCACGGGTAGAACAGACCTGTGGTCTATGGATTAACACTATCTGTTCCCTACTATATAGTATTTGAGAGGGTCCAATGTTAGAACGGGTCATGGGGGTTTTTAACCTTAAGCTCGCGTCGAGTACCTGTGCTCTCTACCATTGGCAGGACAATTCAAGTCAGGAAACAGAGGACAACCAAAGCACACTGTTCGTCAAGAACTGATAGCGTAGCTACTTCCTAATTACTAGTTACCATGAGAGTTTTTACTTCAGCAACCCCAGACAGACTGTGGCTTATCTCTCCTATCGTCTCATACTCTAAGTTATATAGAATACCATTTTTTGGGTCAATTTCTGGGAGGAATATTGCCCCGGACAGCAATGTGGGTTTCCTAGGTAACAACATATGCTTAAAGCACATATACCTTGTAGCAGTGAGTCAGGTAATAAAGTATTCAGTTTTGTCTTTATCGTGGCTACTTGTTTCTTGCCAAAGTGCATATTATACGGACAGATTATACGGACGGATTGCTTTAGTACAGATGAACACGCGTTCACTTGAACTTGCTGGCATTATTGAGTTGTTTGGAAATGTAAACAAAAGCCCCACTCCTCCTCCTCCTCCTCTCTCTCTCTCTCTCTCTCTCTCTCTCTCTCTCTCTCTCTCTCTCTCTCTCTCTCTCTCTTTCTTTCTTTCTTTCTTTCTTTCTCTGATACTCTGATTTTTGAAGTAGCTTTAACAATTTTTCATTCATATCGCAGTGACAAATTATTGCGATGTCTAGCACTTGGGCATCAAGCCACATACATGGATGAGGTTCGAACCAGCGAAACTCCCGCATCTGAGCGGAACGCTCTAACCACTTGGGACACCGGAACGGTCGGCTGCCGGTTCGAATTCTGTCAAAACCAGACTGAGTCTGCTGCCATGACACGTGTCTG